CCCGTTCCCCTCCCCAAAGGCTGCTCCCCCCCACCCCATGTCTCCATCCCTGGGCCCTAAGCTCCATCTTCCGAGCCATGCCTCCTTCTCTGCTCCCTTTTCCTCTCAGTTGTCCTACAGCACCCCCTCCCCTCAGCAGGGGGCGCTGCCCAGCTGGGCTCCAGACGCACCTCAGGTAGGAAATAGCATCAAGTACAGGTGAGCATCTGTTAAACATGTGCTTACCTGTACTGGTGCATTCAGGAGCTCCTGATGAACCTTTACCTACAGCTGTAACCAGATTATACAGAGCTGGTTCATTCATTCATTAATTATTGGTTCCTTCATTTCAGCCTCACAGTCCTGTTCGGCTGAAGGTCGGATTTGCTCCGCCCCCTCATGGTGAGTCCCCGCTGACATCACAGAGTGACATCACACATCACAAAGTGACATCACAGCAGACTGAACAGACTCACTAATCCTTTAACTGGTTCACAGGTACAAACTCTGTCTATGCTCCCAGTCTGACCAACAGTCCAAGTCTGACCAGTGCTGCTGTTCGGACTACTGTTCCTGTTTCGACCAGTGTTCCCAGTGTTCCCAGTGTTCCCAGTGTTCCCAGTGTTCCCAGTGTTCTCCTCTGTGACTCTGTCTCGAGTCATCACAACAGAGTAAGACAATCAGGGGAGACATCTTTGACCCGTTAATATGAAATTAAACTTTTTTTTAAATGTTTTTATTGATGATGCTCTCCCTCTTGTACAGGTGTCCTCCCCTGTCCCCACCTCACCTGGACTGTCACCCATACAGGAGGGTAAGACATACCTGTCTGTCTGTGTGTCCACCATCCGTCCAACACTTTGTTTTGGACGACTGACTCCACTGATATGAAATGATCTGTGAATATTCATACCTTCATTTAATGGACAGATGAAAGTTCTTCCAACTGTTTTATCTCTCCTGTACCACCTTAAGGACTTCTTCTGGTTTCTCTTTCAGTGAAGAAAACTACAGTCTTCACCGTTGGTCGTTTCCAGGTGACGCCCTCCAAAGATATTCCTGCTGTCCATATTCAGGAGCCACGCCCCCTCAGTCAGGCCACACCCACTGCCCACTCACCGCCTCCCTCCAGACCGGACCAATCAGAGAGCTCAGAGAGCAGCACGGAGGAACAGAGCGAATCCGAGAGCAGCATCAGCACAGTGACAGTGTCCCCACCGGGACACCTTCTGCATTACCATGACAACCCCGGAGGACAGGAGGAGGAAGAGAGGAGGAGGAAGATGGAGGAGGAGGAGGAGGAAGAGGAGGAAAAGAAAAGGAAGGGGGGTCAGAGGCTGAGCATCAGCCTGTGGGAGGGGTTGGCCGGCAGTCCCGGGATGAGCGGTGGCAGCTTCGGCCAATCGTGGAGCCGCCCGGGACCCTGTGTCAGCTCTGACGAATCAGAGAACGAGAATGAGGAGATGTGGGTGGAGCTGGAGGAGCTCCGTGAAAGGTAACTGATCAATGGAAAACAGTGTGATATTGACTGAGTTTGTTTAATGTTTTAATGAACAGAAACAATGCCAACGATTAACTTTTTCTACCAAATACCATGGAACTACATTTGTGAAATATGGAAAATACTTATAACCCTAGAGCTATGTTCTATATATAATTGATTCAATCAATCATCTATAATCAATAAACAGTGTATAAACTCTTTGTTCTATATGGAGTTGTGTACTAGTTGTTGCATGTTTCTGATATTACTGTAATGATTTCAATGGAATAAATAACTTCTGAACACTGATATGAACATTGTTATCAGGATCCTTTTTTAAACTTTCCTACCTGATCCCAGACACCTGGTGGAGGTGCAGAACCTGCAGTCCAATCAAAAGCAAGAGATCGAGGAGCTCTACCTGAGGATGGGTAAAGTCCCACCCCCCGGCATTGTCTCTCCAGCTGCCATGCTAAACCACCGCCAGCGCCGCCTCTCCAAGACCGGAAACTACCCTCCATCTCGCAAAAACAGCCTGCAGAGACTGAATGTGCTGCCCCCTGCAGGTGAGGGGACACACTGCAGCCTGTGGGAAAAACAGAATAATAAAGTTTACAATAATGATAATATAAAATAATAATATATTTGTGTCTGTGGTTCAGGGATCATGAGGAAGAGCTCGATCAGCGGCAGCAGCAGTGGATCTCAGGAGAGAGCAGGGAAAGGTGTGACCTTTGCCCCCGAACACAGCTGTATGGTGAGCTCACAATGTCATCTCCACTCACTTCTTAAATCACTTTTTATTGCCAATGAGCGAATTGGTTGTAACGCAACTTAGACTTAACTTAAAAATTAGACCTTCCGACTTTCTCTGTTCCCCATTCACGCCTTAAACCCATTCCACCATTTTGGATTTCTTTGCTTCTTTTAGCATATATTTTATTTAATCTTGACCATATTCGGTACATAGCATATTAAGATGAAGCCAAACAAGACTCATAGGTTATCATGTTTCTGTAATTGGTTACCAAACTATTGAAGGTGTGGCCTGATGCACTTAACAGGCCCTAAATCTTCAATGCTGAATTTGAGTGTAACCAAATTTGGGAATGTTGTACTTAAAGCCACATTTGTTTCAAACAATCCTACTGACAATATCCCCAAAAATAATAATAATACGAAGTTACAGAGGACAGGACAGATACAGGACAGAGGTCAGTGCTTTTTATTTGATTCAATAACGATATTATTGTTATATAAGTCTGATACGTAGATGCAGGTCAGGTGAGTCACATATCGCGCAACCCTAACCCTAACGAGGAGACACGTTAATGACATTGCCTATCAAAAACCAAACTGTTGATTTACCTGCTTTGTGCTTGTTAAACATCCATCAGATAATGTCTCTCTCTGTTTCTCTACAAAATACTAACATCAGTCCCTGACCTATACCGGAGTAATTAGAGTTTTAATTAGTTAGTTAGGTAGATTAAGATCATCGACCGATCAATCGGAGCACCCTTAGTACTGTCTATTTGATTTATATAATAGCAACAATAATGATACAATTTATATTAACCTTTTTCATAAGTTTAAGTCAAGTCCAAAAAATGACACTAATTGTCTTTCAGAGACCATTAATAAAATTTTGATTGAATCCATTTTTATAATAATACTAAGTTACAGGGGACCAGACAGATCCAGGACATATGAATGCTGTAGATACAGGGCAGAGGTTAGTGCTATAGATACAGGTCTGGATTGTCTATTTGATTATAGTAACAATAATGATATTAATATGAACTTTATTTCATACGTTTTAGTTGATGTGTTTCAATCACCAACTCTGGTTTGGTGGAAATAAATCCTTAATTCACAGACGTACAGTTTCAGTCGGAGCAGACCGGCAATGGAAACAATCCACAGAGAGACTGAGATTATATTTTGAATGTGGTGCACATACAGTGAGTGTAGTAACTGTTGAAAGTTTGATGGTAAATTTGTGCCCTTATTACTATAAAGTGATGAGTGACAGGTTAGCAACAGGAGGCGGGTCTTAGCAAACAGTAAATTGTTTATCTTTCGACACTGCATCCATACGTCTGCTGAGGAAAAGAGAGAACACTGGTTAACCTTTGACCTTTCCCTTTCAGTAACTGAAGACATGAAGAAGATGTTGATGAAGAGTCCTCAATGAACACAAGTCACTTTTCTATCGAGCCAGCAGCGTTTTATTCAAAATGACTGATGATTATATTCTTTTAGCTATATGGAGTTTGAATCCAGATTTGTTGTTTTTCTGTTTTACTTTTTAAATCGAGACTCGAACAACATTTTAAGGACATTTCAGCACTTTAGGAAGAAGATATTGAGCCTGAATGAGCCTTATGTGAGAACAGGTTCTTATTGAGGTTCCGCAGGTTTGTCAGATTCAGTTCATATATAATCCTTTTACACTTAGAGACAAAGAGACAAATATCACACAGTCTTTAGTCTACAACTCTTAATGAACACACAGAACCTCACTGCTGATTTTACAGATTTTATATGTTGGATTTCTGTGTGATTGTTGATTAAATCTGATCTCTTATTAGTTTGTAACTCCAGACTTTTCTCTTAACTTAAGTTGGACTGTTGCTCATTTACTCACAATAGATTAAGAGCAGGCATACTGGCTTCAGAACAGCCACCTACCCCCCTTTTGGGTGAAACCAACTATTAATAAGCAATTTGTAAACAGCAGAAAGTTACAGGAAGTGGAGATAAAACCGTCCTGTTTTCTTCTTCTGTGGTCTCGTAGTTAAAGGTTGATTAATGAACACAAACCATGGAATTACTTTACAGTAACGTCACATTGGACAGACGACAGAAACAGTTAATAAAGAGTCTGTACGACAGAAACTGTGACAGAAGGCAGGAATATGAGATTCAGTAAGGAAGTTGTGTCTGTCAGGACACTCATCAATAACTATTTCTGCATTTTATTTACAACCACAACAACACAACAGGATTGTTTGTGACTGCACAGGATTTATGATCCTAATAGACAGAAAGAAATATGGTATTCAAATTTTTGTTCAAGACCTCAGAATTTAGTTTTTCTGCCAGTCAAATTAGAGGAGCAGCTTTCACCCAAAAGGGGGCGGGGCTTCATACAGGGCCAGAGTACCCGGCTGGTCTGCTCTCATCTATAATGTAATGTAAAAGAGAGTTTATGAGTCTGTTCTTGTATGAGGTCCCGAGACTTCTGCACATTTGTTCTGTCTGTCTGTTTATAATCTGTATCCACTTACAATCACAGTGTGCCTTATTTAAAAATAATATAAAGAGTAATTATTGTAATATTTAGAAACTGAGCTGAAGTGTGACGAACAAACAGAATGTGTCCAGAATCATATTAAACCTGATATTTGAAAACTGTTTGTAAAAATGCGTCCTAGCTTCAAAATGTTTCTGTGTAATAAAAGTAACCTAAACATTTTTTGTGTATAAAAGTAACTCCAGTGATGATGGTTCCTAAGATTGAAAAGTTTCACATTCATCATTAAGGCAGTTATAGTCTGACATTTTAATTCTGAATTTTAAGTCTGTTAGTCAGATAATCTGCTGTTAGAAGCTGGTTGTATTTGGTGATGTTTGTAAAATTATCGTACCGTTACAGTTTGAGCAGAAAGGAGTTTTGTATTGCTATATATAATGTTGAAGGTAAAATGAGTTTACACACTGAAATCAAAGACTGACACTATTAACACAGGGCTAACATCAAAATTAGCTGCAGGCTAACATGGATGTTAACTACAAGCAATCACAATGTTGGTTTACAATAACTTCTGGCTAGAAAACCCGCTGATGGTTAATGCGATGCATTTTTGATCATTTATCTGACAATGACATGGCTTCAGCCTCTCTGATTGGACCGGAGCTAAATTCAGTTACTGTAAATATCAGCATCTATTACAGTATTATGGGATGGAGGCACAGTTGAACAGAAACAGGTTTCAAGATCAGTAATGCTGTGTTATATAATTTTAAAATAATAAAATCTGAAAATGAGTCTTCCTCAATATTAGTTGTGTTCTGGGTTCAGAATGATAAAGACAGTCAGAGAACAATTAAATAATAAACAGGATGAAGGTTTTATTGGGCAACTATCATGTTTTTTAGTACCAATAGCTGCTGTCAGTGGGGGAAAAAACATGCTCCCAGACCCCCCAATCTGCCGGCCCCTGGTGCAGAAAACCAGGATGAAGCTCAGATAAGAAACTCTGCCACAGACGGACAAACACAGAGCCTGACTTCACTTTCACACTTTATTCAAACAGAACTTTCACAACAGGTAAGAAACTCTTACTTTTCTTTCTTTGCTTTTTCTTTTGCATTCTGTAGATTTAAATATCTAAATATAATAACAATAAAACTCTTGTGATTCTCCTCACAAGGTGCAAAAGGAAACCAGCTTCTGTATATTTAAGACAGTGGAGGGCTGTACGGATTGTGATTCTGTTCAAACAACCAGAGAGAGTTGAACATGGTATCTTCAGTATAAAGAGACTCTGCTTTATGGAACATTGTGTTCTTTCAGCCTTTCTGTATACACCCAGCTCACAGTGCACAGATCCTGAGAGGAAGTTTATTGTGCAGACACTCTGATGTTCAGATCTAAAATCTAAATCAGCTTCACTGCAACAACAAAGTGCAACCAGAGTTACCTCCTGTGGTCGTATCAAACTGCAGTTTACCTCCATGTCTGTCAGATTCATATGAAATAAGTGACAAAGAGTTTATAGGAATTATATATAAAAGGTATAAAGTGTATTTTGTGTCTGAATGGAAGTAATCACTATATTGATCATACATACAGTATGTATGACTCCAG